TTTTCAAGCACACTTCTCCTGATAAAAGTTTGATCTCAATTCATTAGGCAATTTTGCATATTTTGAGTTCCAGATGGCTCAATACGCTCCACAACTTCATGATGCTATGATAGTTTATGCAAATGTTGTCAATAGAACGCTAGCAGCAAATGAAAGTATAAGAGATGGAAGCAAAATGTTTAATATGACAAAAGGGATTTATCGAGGTAAAAATCTTTTTAAAAAACTATTTTTTCGTATTGTACATGCATTTAGGAGCACTTGGGGATGTTGTTGAAGCATGGGATGGGTCAAGAATACCAAACTTCATTCTCACAGGAGTTGGAGATACGAATGAACCGCAGCAGCTAATTCTTATACAGCTCGACACAGACGTAAATGCAGTAGGTTGAAAACAATTAAAAACACTTTTGATAGAAGAAAAAGCTATTCAGTGCAATTTCAGACATTAGTACCGCTTTATAATATCGCACAGGAGCAACAGGTTGTCTGGAACGGGCGTGCTACTCCAACTACTGTGCCAGCTTGTGGTTATACAGGTACTAATCAGGGAATGTGATAATGTTTGAGGAAATAGAAATCAACATTCTGAAATGTAGCCCTGCACCTCCGAAATTTGAACTACGGTTTCTTAGCACTAAATCTCTTGACTTAGGGTCAGAATGTCCGATACCATTTTTCGAAGCCTATCGGATATACGTGATCGTCGGCATATGTATAGCCGCATTGCTCATTCTCGCAGTTATTGCAGTGATCCTCATTGCGCTAAGGTACGTCCAATCGGAAGAAAAAGGCACCTTTGTCAAGCTTTGTTCATAAGTAGCTGAAGGTATTATTCAGAGAACGAGAAAACGAAAAGAATCGTCAAGATGCCTTGTGGAAAATTGCATTTCATAAGCTTAGAAAACCAGTACATAAGGTACATCCCAGAAATAAGAAATGATTAGTTTGAGAAATGATGTTATTTTCAGACGAGATCACAGTCATTCACATCTGCAATCTCTGGAGTGTCTGGAAGATCTGGAGATCAATCAGCAATTCTTGATTGGAAGACTGAAACCGACAAGATGTGTTACTTCTACTATGGAAATGAGCCGCT